CAACAACCAAGTCAAAATGTTTCAACAAATTCAAGACTCTGTTCCACAAAAGGAAGCTGCCATGCTTTGTGGGCCATATTAGAGCTCACTCCAATCTTCCTGGTCCTTTAGCTAAGGGTAATGTAATGGCTGAGCCTTATCCCAAGTGGAAATGGCTCAACAGTCACATGCTCTTCATCAAAATAGCAAAAGTTTAACATGGAAAGATGCCTGCTTGGAATTATGGAAGTGTCCCGATCCTATGTTAATATGGGGTCAAGTACATGTTTGTGTGTGTGTGTGTGTGTGTGTGTGTGTGTGTGTGTGTGTGTGTGTTTTTACAAGAGGAGAATGAAGCTGGGGTGGTTACCAGAGCATCTGGTAAGGAGCGTGGAACTAAGGAAGGGTCAGCTCCAATGACATTTCCTATAAAGGAACCAGAATGAAAGTGGCTCGATTAGTATTTCTGAGGTTTTGTCACTGGTGAATGCAAACAGTGAGGAAATAGAGTTCGGAGCTGTGCCACTTTTAGTTTTACTGGCTCCTTTAGAAAATACTTTATATCACCTAATAGCTGTGCAGTATTTGGCAAAAAGCTTTACAGCAGCTAAATACGGTAATTTCACGCTCAGCGTGAAGTGAAGTTTTTCTGTAGAACAAACCAAAAGTACTGCTGTAATAAAAACGTTTGTCTGAATTGAAGTACTTAGGGGAGCTATTATGAATTTGGGTGAAGGGCCAGCCTCTAGTTAAAAACCGTTTACCACTGACAGTGCATCTCTGCCGGTTCCGGAAAGGTTGAGAGAACTGGCAACTTTGGGGTGTGGCTTTGTCCTGAGAATGTTACAGTCCCCTAGCAACAAGTAACACAATTCTATAATGACAACACTCACTAAATCCCAGTATTGTATAGCAAAACTGACTATAGACTCTATACTTCAGAAATAATGTACATTCTTCCTGTCTAGTTAAGAGAATCTTTCTAATAGAGATAGTGATAATAATTAAGAGTAAGAAGTAGAAAAAGATGAAAATAAGATAGGTGAGTTTGTAAAAATTCTGTCTTGTTAGATCTCTGTTAAGCCTTTAGGTGTTTGCTAAGTTAAATATATGCTAATGGTAGCCCTATATAAGTTTGTAAAATAGATCTATAGAGTTCCTCTAAGAATATAAGCTTGCAAGAAGTATCTAATGTAGTCTTAAGACATGTAGTAATAAGTTTGTAAGATGCTACTTGTAAATGTAAGTTTAAATAAGAATATAAGAAGTAAATAAGTAAAGATGCTAGTTGTAAAAATATATAAGAAATATATTTGCTAAAGTAGTTCTATAATTTCCTTAAGGAGTATAAATAAGTAGATGTCAATACATTATATGTGAGTTTGTATAATGTAAATGTTGAATGTGAATCTAAATGCTTTGCAAGGCAAAAAATGTTAAGTGTGAGTCTATTTTTAATGTATATGGTTGAAAGAACCTGAGACACAGAAGGAAGTGTCCTAGTAGACTGCAAAGTAGTCAGTCTGAGCGGTTTTCAAAAGTTCCAGAAGCCGCTAAGAAGCTAAGAATGGTGGATGCCAGAACCAGCACAGCAAGGAATCCGCAGCTGAGATCCGTGAAAAATCAATGCAACACAGAAAAACCTGAGCTAACATCAAAAACAGTGTGGTTTAGAATACTACTGCACATAAAAGGGTCTCTGGCTTGAGAATACAAGTTCAGAGACGCTTGTTTGAACAAAAATTGTTAACTGCAAAAAGTTTTGGTTGTAAAATGTCTCTTCATATTTGGAAGTAAAAGTCTGTTGCCAGAATTTACTATTTTGAACTTTTTGAAAAAACTACAGAAAGATGTTGGTTATGAATTTCTTCATATTTGGAAGGCTAGTAACAGAATTTATCATTTGAATTTTGAGACTTAATAAACTGAACAATAGAGATTTCATTGCAATGGGACAATTTTGAGTTTATTTATAATAATGACCTAGGAACTGTTTGCTGAAGTTGGGTTAAAAATGGAACTGTTTAAATGAAGAAATTGATTGTTTCTACCTAGACTAAAGATGCAATTTTATGTATGCATATTTGCTTTATTAACTGGTGATTCATGAATTGTTTTGTGGAATTATTTATGTAAAAATGGAATTACTTATGGAACTGGTTTTGTGTTACAAATGAAACTGTTTAAACAAAGAAGTTTGGGTTTTATAACTAGGATTGAGATTTTGCTTAAAAAAATCATAAAAGGGAGAGTTAATATTCCTTAGTCTATTTAATTTAAAAAATATTTTCTTTGAGAGGATTAATGTCATGTTTTGTTAGTAAGAAATGCAAATCTGGTATACTAAGAGACTACTTTTAAAGTGTGTAAAGAGTTTTATTAAGAAACTGCTTTTGGATGTTTTGCTAAAAGTTTTCAAAGTGTTAATGGTTAGATTGAAAATATTGCTTTTCAATATGGGTTTTTAGGAATTGTTTAAGTTTGGGTTCCTCTAACTAGGTTTGAGATTTTATTTAAAAAATTATAAAGAAAGGAGGAGTTGTGAGATTGAGTTATGTTTGCAGAAACCTATTAATATTAATGCACCCTGGTTTTGTGGAGGTAAGGAAATATTTAAGTTTGATGTGAATACATCAAAGTTTTTCCTATGTTCTGTTAGAAAGAAAATTCAAATGATTGAGTTAAAGTTGTAAGACGGAGAAAATTGTTAACTATATATAGCACCATATATGCTAATTCAAATGGTTCTGTTAAGAGTTTGCTTTGTGTTGTAAGATTGGGAGAATTGTGAGTATGTATAGCAATATTTATGTTAGCCTGTTAATGGTAATGATGAAGCTAAGGGATTCTTTAAGTTTGTAGTTGCTTTAAGAGTTTTTGGTTTAGAAAGGGCTTGAGGCAGCTAAGACTGCTATAGTCACCTTGGACCTAATTCAAAAGAGAAATGCCATCTTTATCATCCTCTACTCCCATACTGGGAGGTGTAACAGCTATGGAGATTGCTGTAAGCCAATAATAGTTATTTTTTATGTATTAAGAAAGGGGGACCAGTGGGAGCCCGTTCTTGGGTTCCTTATGGCTTTACCCAGCAGGTGTGCATAGAGGATGATTAGGACCACTGGCCTGAGTGCAGGTGTCTGGGATGGTCTGCACTTGGCTGTACTGGGGGAGGAGGTCTTTTGCTCCACCCCTTGGCATCTCTATAAAAACCCTGGGGCAGAGACAGTTGGGGCCCCTTGGAAAATGTTCCAGGCCCTCTCGAGGCTACCCTTTATTTTCTATCTGTTTATCTCCTCAAGATTCTCCGCAACAAATCCTTCTATCTAATATTTCCTGCTTCTCACACTCAAGAAAACTCTGGGGAGCTGTGGGGTTGGTGGGTAAACGCCCCACAATAGATGATGAGGCTATATGAACTGCTGAGACATGAGCTATCTGAATGTGCCTTAGACAGTGGACAATCTGGTTCATAATTTTGTTTTATAACTCATAATGGCTTTGTTATCTACTTGATAACCATCATAATGATATGTCTCCTAAAAAATTTAAAGGAAAAAAAAATCACATTTAGTTCTATCAGGTACTTTGGGTTGCTTGTTTTATTAATTAAAATTTTAGTCACTTGCTGTCACAGCACAGAGATAATTACTAAGTTTAAAGTCTTATTGAAGTTTCTATAGAAAAGACTTATTATACCCAGAAGCTGAATCATTGATACTTATGGTGTATATATAAAATGGCTATAAAGATAGCTCAAATTAATTTTGAAGTTTACAATAAAGAAATGATAACTTCTTTAAGACACAAATAGTTTTACCCTAATTTAAACACAATACTATATATATACATACATACATATACCTTCAGCTGTATGTATTAACCAATACAGTGCTGCATTATATAAATTTTATGTTTCTATGTATTAATTAAAATCAGTCCCAAATGGACCATTAATTAAAAACAACTGCTGCACCTAAGTTTCAAGGAACACTGTTGAAAAGAGGGCAGAAAGACTGTAGGAGCCAAAGGAATTTGCTGTGAGACTGAGTCTTCTGGTCATTTCAGAAGTTAAACCCATAAAGTTTCATCAACATGGTTGCCCAAACCTGAGCTGAACAGGAACAACAATAGACATGCTAACGTGGAAGGGAGAAAGAATTCAAGGCTTCAACCCTTCACCAAGAACCACAGTGACTAAGGAATGCTAAGAGCAGGAGACACAGACTTCCTCAGGAAAGAGCACACTAATTGGTTATTCAATATCAAGTGATCAGCCCTGAAATTATTCATATAAGTAACATTGTATAGAAAGGACAGGTTATATGTATGAATACATATTTATACCTATATGCATGTAACAATATGGGAGGGTTTAGAAGGAGAAAAGGGAAGGGGACAATGATGTGATTATAATCTAAAAAATAAAATATTGAAAAAATAATTTTATTAAAATGCAAGCTGTAGCACGACTCTTAACAGGTCTTATTTAAAAAAATCAAACCTGAAGCCAGGTATTGGGGTGAATATTGGAAGATCAAAGAAGCAGAACAAGCCAGCTTCCTCACCTCGCCAATTTCTCAGCTGATGCTGTTTCCTCTGACTGAAAGCTTCTGTGTCCTTATCCAAATGGATCTCTGCTGAACTGTGGCTCAAAAGCCTAAAAGCTTAATCAGCTCTAGTTCCTGGTTTTCATGCCTTATATACCTTTCTGCTTTTTGCCATCACTTCCTGGGATTAAAGGCATGAGTTACCATGCCTGGCTGTTTCCAGTGTGGCTTTGAACTCACAGAGATCTAGATCAATCTCTGCCTCCCAAGTGATAGGATTAAAGATGTGTGTGTCACCATTTTCTGGCCTCTATGTCTATCTAGTGGCTGTTCTGTCCTCTGACCCCAGATAAGTTTATTAGGATGCACGATATATTGGGTGACACAATATATCACCATAGCAAGCCTTTACTATACCCTTAATTAAAATATGTATTTTAAGTTGAAGTAGTATAATAATTGGACAGTATGTTCTACTTTAAATATCATTTTATTTTATAGGGAATCACAATTTTATCAAGTGGAGAAGCTCTAGTGCTTATCCTGGTGGGTTGGTGAGGACGATTTTGGAATACTGCCGCTTGATCGGGAGAATACCTTTGACAGAGTTGAAGATACCTTTGCCAGCACTTTAGATCCTTGCTTGGAAATAGTGCTCTTGGAAGTTTCTGTGGGAAAAAGATAATATTAATGAACTGAGAGATAATTGAAGTACTTATATTATGGCAATAATTTAGAATTCAGAAGTTGGCATTTGTATATTAATCTGTGCAAGCACAGTTATGGTGTTTTCTCTTGACTTCTTCTCCCCAAAGGAAACGTGCAGAGTAATGTCCTCATTTATGGACTATGAATTCTGGTGAGGTCAAAGACATTGCTTGAGACCACACAGGCATATTGAGTCTAAGCTAGGAACATGCTTCAGTAATTTTATCTCTCATGGTGCAGTAGTATCCACTTGACTTTGAGGCATCTCCAGGTAAGTGTGCAAAGTCCACTTTTCGTCCCTCCTGAAAACTATTTGGAAATACTTAATGAGCTGAACATGGAGATACATTTCAGTGCTCTGTGTAGGTTTTATTTTATAGTGCTCAAGTGTAAGAAGAAATAATATTAAAATGCTGTAGTTCCTCTATTTTGTGTAAATTTCCTGTTGAAAGTCCCTAGGTATATTTCTTTGTTAAGTAAGATATGATGTATAGATAAAGAAACTGTCAGCATTTGGATTCAGTTTTCTGTATCAACTATTAATTACCCGAGTCTTTTAGCAAATATCTCAATTTATAATAACTTGTAATAGAACTTGAAAACACATAAGACGTCAAAACTCAACATTTTTCTAACTGCAATATATAATTTCAAAAGTTAGGAATCTTTCCTTAAATATCTATATTTAGTTTCTCTTTTTTAAAAAAGAAAGAAAGAATGCTCTGAAAAGGCTGCTAGGAATCTAGCATTTAGTGACCACAGTCCTTATTCCACTTCTATTATATCATCCATCTTGCTCAGGAAGCCATACTTTCTTATGAACCATGCTGCTTCTGAATGACCATAGGCCCTAAAAATCCTGGGGTTCTATGTAGCTCAGCAGCTATGTGACTTTGGAGAACTCATTATGGTTTTTCTTCTCAATTATTCCCATTTCATTCTTTAATAACAAATGGATAATTGCAGCCTAACAAATGTTAGTTATACCATCTGTTACCCCTTGGTGTCCAACATTAAAGACAATTATGTAATAATCTATAGATTTTTATACAAATAGTATCATTATTGTATCAATCCCATATTAATAATGTACAAGACAAGGGCCACTCATCCTGGAAAGATCAATGATAAAAATGTCTACATTCACAATAATAAGAGTTTTATTTCATTTGTGTTTAAAAGTTACTGCATTTTGTACCTGAAATGTGTTCCTTTGAGGTACGTACACTGCTGGTCACTCTTTTTGATCCTTCAAAGATGGTGACAAACTGCCAAGACAAATTGGCATAGTTAGATATTTAGACAGTCAAGATTACATATGCCAAGAAATACCCAAATATATATCTACCATTACACAATTTCATACAAGTGAAATCTGTATTCTTCTGCTTCAAATAAGCCTTCTCTAAGACTCAGGCAGGTGAACTTTTTCATTTATAGTATTGAGGATTTGTCTTTGTGATAAGTGATGACCTTGGCTATAACCACATGACAAAGGTGAGCCCTGTTGACTCTTAGAAAATGTCTACCTCTTCTTTCGCATTCACTGCAATACCTTGCAAACATGTTTCTGAGACCGGATAAAATGATAAGGGAGAATCCAAAATGCTTCACTTTGCAATTCTCAATTTCTTCTGTGTAAAGTTTAGCAATTTATAGGTTCTGAAACAATAGAGTCACTTGTTTTGATATTTCTAGGACCATGCCAGATGCTAGTTTTTTTGTTTGTTTGTTTGTTTGTTTGTTTTTAAACATGTGTCATTTCTCTGAATAAATAAGAGTAACTGTTCCTGAAAGTCAAGATATGGCCACTACCAAGACTCAAGTTCTCAAAATCTTTTGTCTATATAACTTCAACTACTAAAGAGAAACTTCAGTCAGACATGTAGGTACTGCCTTGCTAAGTTTCTCTTTCTATAAATAATTTCCCTTAGCTTTTGACCCTTAACAGACCCTCTTCCTTTAATCAGCTGGATATAATGCCCTAAGGCTCTTGTCTCCCTGTGTGTTATGTTTCATACTCCTTAGGATTGTATCCACTTCCAAAGAACAGAAACAAAACAACAGGTCTACTCAACAGTTTTCATCAGCTTGGAAGCTTTATGTCCTCTGGTAAGAAAGAATAATTCTCTTTCAGAATTTTAGGTGGAATCTTATTTTCATGACTGACACTGTCATGGTAGAAGAAAAAACAACCCATTCCCTACCACTATGGGACAAGTATCAAGGCCTTCTAAGCAAACTTCATTCTATCTTTTCTTTCTATGAAGTTTCAGAATTGTGCCAGGAAATTGTGAAAGAATGTTTAAGAAATGGTATTGACTGCTTTTTGAGATTTGATTTCCTATTCTGAACTTCTATTATTTATTTTCAAATCCTCACTATTGTCCACAGTTTCAGTTGTAATCAACTAGTGGATATGTGTGAGTGAAGGGTACTTATACAACTTTATTTAGAAATGCACCGAGTAACAATTTTAACAATAGTTTGGGTGTGGAAAAGTAACAAACAAGGAAAGTACAACAGTGGAAGAGTGTAGACTAGCTGGGAATTCAGCATCAGTCAAAGTCATGCTAATGACTTTCAGACTAGAACTTCATGGTCTCTCTTCCATTGACACATGATTTTATTTTTGCAATGTATAAATTAAATAAGGTTGGAGATTGCTAAATAGATGCTTACATTCATAAATAAAGATTATGTTGACTGTAGAAGGGACTGGTTTCTTTGGAAAATTGGCAAAAATATCTTTATGTGTGATACAGGATTTTATGAATTGGGTCTGAAAATTGTACTATATTGTAATACTGGAAAGTTGCTGAGTGGCTGGGAAGTTTGTAATTCTGTATTAGTGAACATACTGTAAATAATGAAACTGGATTAAAATAAACCAGGAAGACACCGTGAAAAAGAATGAAACAAGAAGAATTATAACAGGATCTATTAAAAGAGTTCAGGAAAAGGAATGTTCCTCAGTCTACACCATGTAGTAGTTAGCTGTATGTGAAGAGTCAGTCTGAGTGGAAGCCCATGAACTGTGGACTGGTTTCTGTGGAGCCCCCATGGGACTGGACTAGGCCCTCTGGATATGTAAGATGGTTGTTTGGCTCCAACTGTTTGGGGGGCACCCAGGCAGGGGGTTGTTATCTGTCCCTGGTCTATGTGCATGCTTCTGGAACCTGGTGCCTGTGGTGTGACACTTTGCACAGCCTTGGTGCAGTGGGAAGGGACTTGGACTTGCTTAGGCTCAGTGTGCTGGGCTCTGCTGACTCCCCATGGGAGACCTCGATTTGGGGGATGTAGAGATGTGGGGTGGCTTGGGAAAGAGGGCTGGGGGGTGGGAAGAGGGAGGAGGGGGGATCCGTGAATAGTATGTGGAGTGAGTAGAAAATTTCTTAATAAAGAAAAATGAAAGAAAAAAAAGTGAGTCTGTAGAAACGTGGAAACATGGGTGAAACTAGGCATTCATTGCTTTCTTGACTCATCTTTGAAGTTACCCTAAATGTCCTGTCTCCATCTCCCACATCATCACTGGACTCTTAGCCCTAGGCAGAATCAAGTAACTCACCCTTTTAGGCTTTTCTTCAGAATCAGAACAAGCTATTAATGGAATTGTAGTTAGGTGTTGAGAATAAGTGACTTACTCTACTCACCCAAACAATGACTTCTTATTAAAATCCAATGATCAAACACTTTCATGAGGGGTTTTTCAGATATTAAGGACAGGTCTCATTCAGATGAGGAGATCTGAGTGTGAAGTGATTGTGAACAAGGCAGTGTTTTCTGATGTTCCTCAATAATGCCACTCAGGCTCTGATAGAATTTAAAAATTGAGCTATTTTATAACTGAACCCCATTGTACAGAAACAAGAAGATATTGAATACTATTTACCTGAACACAGCTTGAGTTTCCTGCTTGTGGTTGCTGAGAACGTTCTGGAAAAAACGGGAAGAAATATTTTTTTTCTTATACACACACACACATACATTCATAAACATGTACATACATATATTGATACAAATCCAATATTTTTGCCTCAATTGATATAATTTAGACATACAATTATTATTATTTTTAATGGATAGACAGTTGGAACAAATTTGAAACAAAAAAGAACCCTAAAATGTTAGAAGATGTATTTGCTTTCCACTTGGAAATTATGAAAGATGAGTATGATGTGTCAGGAGAAGCAAACTCTGTGCTTCAATAGCTATACATCTATGCAATGCCACTCAATCCCAGTGCCTATTTTTTCAACCTATAAAAGAGAGATTACTTTAATGATAGTCCCTAAGTGCCTTTCCAACTTTAACATGCTTTACATTTATCTAACTACAAAATGGTAAGTGAGTCAGACATGGTGGCACACACTTTTAATCTCAGCAGAGGATGTCTGATCTCTGTGAGTTCAAGGCCAGCCTGGTCTCTATAACGAGTTCCAGTCCAGCTAGAACTACATAGTAAGACTCTGTCTCAAAAACAAAACACATAACAGAAATAAATAAGAAAGTGATGATGTTTTAAAACAGGGCATCTTTGTTGTAATACTCAGATAAAATCTAGTGGAACCGTTTCAGATCAGAAAGCTGCTGAAGGTTCCAAGGGAGATCAACAGCATCAAACACAAGGAAGCAGAAGTAAATTGACAAGCAACATTTCTCAGAGACCCATTTTTTAGTGAGGCAACTAATCTGCTAACACAGGATCTCTGTTGAGTCTTAGCTTCATTGTTTAGAAGTGGGTGACAAACTAAATGTAACTTTTCTGACTCATTATCCTCATACATAAAATGGGAATGAAACTATTTACTTGGACACTATCATAAGAAGACATGAGGAAATACAGCACATTCAAGTATTATGTACTCTATAAATATGAAGTCATCAAAAGCCATCACAAGTGAGTATTATGAATTATCATTTGGGAGGAATACAGATTCTGGAAAAATAATAAAGGTAAAACTTCAAGTAAATAAGAATGATAGAGCTATCTGACAGAACTAGTAAGTTCATGATTAATTTATTGTATTCCTAAAGGATCTGATTCTACTTTAGATTGCACATGACTGCACTTACTTTTTCTTTAACATTATCGAGAATATTTGAGTTCAATATGAGGACCAAAACTGTAAACACCAGTTTTTTTTTTTTAATGTTTCTATAGTACATAGGCTTTGTACTTCCAGGACTATCTAGAAAGCTGTTTTGATTAAGAGGAATATAAAAATTCCAGTTATTTTAGTGGCTCAGCTATTCACACTTACTTGAAGTTTTGTTATATATTGTATGAAACAAGGAATAAATGTGTTCAGCCAGCCCTCCATTGAAATCTATATTGAAATATCCAATGGCTCACATGTTATCTCAGCTTAAATATCTAATGAATACCTTATTCTCATAACCCAAACTGTTTTCACATGCTTCCTCCACACTCCTTTAGCTACTTCTATATCCTATATCACTCAATATTTTTAACATCTATATGCCAATATGCTGTTTTAGGCTTCAGTGGACATCAATTTAGCAAGCTTGCATTTGATAAAAAACAGTCATGATCAAATAATTAAAACATACCATCTTTTAGAAAACTGCAGGAGAGAAAAAGAAAGCGAATATGTGGCCTATGTAAGATCACAGAAGGCAATTAATTTCCATTTCGTGGTCTCTGATCACTAGAGAGCTCTCTGGGAAAGTGAAGTGGAAAAAATCTACAGGTGAGGGAAGAATAAGACAGACTAAAGGGAAAGAAAACTCCAGAAATCATGGCAAGTGAAAGCCTTTGTAGGATTGAAGGACAGCAAAGGTGTCAGGAATAAGAGTTTGCTGCAGTAGAGGAAGCCACAAGGAAAATAGAGGAAGAGTTAAGAAAGACAAAAGGGGCGGTATGAGCTAATGATGGAGGGTCTTGTAACCACTGCAATGTCTTGAAATTCTGTCATTAGTAAAATTGGAAGGGACTTAACAACCTCTAGATTTATCTTATATTCTGATCATTGGATTCTTTAACTCAAGTTACCATGTAAATTCCATAAGAACAAACTTTGTCAGTATTGTTTACACATGGAATATTATAAAAACAAAAATGAACTGTTTGTTGAATCTTCAGATGAATGACTGAATAAATGAGTTGGTCAGTGACAATATCAGTTAAAAATACAAGAAATTTGCATAATCAAAAAATCAAAGTTAGACAAAACAAAAGAATACACAAAATTTAATCACAGGGAATGAGGCCTTATGTGGACTCTTAGACAAAGAGTTCGACATGTTGGACACTAATGTCCTCATCTCCTGCTTGACTGTCTTCAATAATGAAATCAAAGAATTGCATTAAGTAGTTCCTGGCTGGATATTACAACCCATGATTCATAACTCGGGAATCTTAGTGGTGAGTACCATTATACATACAAATTATGATATGTTGATGCTGTTCAAATAGAATTATTGCTAACAATGAAACTTATTTCTACATCCAAGTGAAGAGAAGTTGTTTCATGAGTAGGTTGCAGAGCAATAGTTGGGATAAAGTTGTGGCTTGAATTCAAGGGCCTGCTATAGTAAAAACAATCTCTATAACTCATGTATATATTGTTTATTATTTAATCAGACTGATCTCCTGAGGTCTGAACAATATTGAAGTAAAACATACTAAAAATGTGGGAAGCACTTCATACAAGCTGATATTTAAAAACAAAACAAAACAGTTCAGGCTAGCCAAATTTTGTTGTGAACAACTAAATTTTGTGTTTAAAAGGCCTTTTGCAACTTAGTAGGGGTAAGCTCTAATACAAGGAAAGCATTACTTTTCAATGAGCTAATTAATTCCAGTTCAAGTCCAGATATAATTTAGCATAACAATACATGCTTCTTTATTTATAGGAGGATTATCAATGTAAATTTATAATATCAGACTAAATTCCTATAAACATTTGGCTTATTTTAAAGCTGGATGAAATGATAACGAATCACTTCTTTAAAGTAGATATACTTAATGGATAAGTAAATTATCATCACTTTCAAGGTTAATGATTAACATTTCTAAGTAGGAAATAAGTTATCAAAATAGTAAAAAAAAGTTACTTTTTCATCAGTTTCTAAAAGTTAAGAAAAATATCCAACCTTCTAGTGCATTAGCCTTTGGATCTGGTTTAAACTCTTCTGCTTCACTGAAATAAAATAAAAAGAATAATTTTTAATGTGTATATTTAACAAATGAAGAAGCTACTCGTTAACAACAGTCTGTCATTCTCTACATGGAAGCACACTTGGAATAGCATGTTGCTAAAATTCAAAATGGAATGAGAATGATTTATGAATTACTTTTCCCCACTTTTAAATTTATTATTAAATATACATAAAATTGGCAACCTTGGAAAGTTGTAATGTATGATTTTGTGTCATTAAGCACATTTTCATTACTATTCAGACATCACCATCTCCCACTTTTAGACATGTTTTGCACTTAAACACTAACACCCATTTCCCTCTTGAAAAATCACTATTTTACTTTTTATCTTTAGGATTTTGAATACTCCAAGTAGAGTCGTAATTTTATTTGTTACTTTGTGACTTACTCTAATTAGTTCAATGTCACCCATATTCATGCATGTTTTAGTATGTGAGGATTTTCTTTAAATAGTAGATAATATTCAAAAGAATGAGACATTTTTTCCTCCTGATTTAATCCAATGATGAACAATAATGAAAGGTTGCCTTTCTCATTGTTTTATTCTGAATCATGTTGGTATTGCACATTCACTACTATCTATGGTAGTACCTGCTTTCAATTCTTTGAGGAATATATTCAGAATTGCTGGGTCACACACTAATCCCATGTTAAATTCCTTAGGAAAGTGCCACAATGTTTTTCATAATGATTTCACAATTTTATAATTTACTATCAGTGCATAAAGGTTCCAGTTTCTCTCCATCCTTAATACTTCTTTTCTTTTCCTTTCCTTGATCTCTTTTCATGCTCCTTTCCTTTCAGTGACTGTCATGGTTTCAAATGGCATCTTCTGAGATTTTGATTCACATTTCCTTAGGGATTAATGATGTGGAGCACCTTTCACGTGCTTTTTTGTGCAATCTTTTAGAGGATTTTTCTGTTCAAATAATTTGTATTTTTTAAATTGTTTTTTGTTGTTTTATTATGAAGTATAGGGAGTGGTTTATACAGTGACCCCATGTATCTGTAAATGTGTGTGTGTGTGTGTGTGTGTGTGTGTGTGTGTGATGTATATAATCTGCAAATATTTTCCATTTCTAGTATTGACTTTTTTTCATTCTCAATTTGTATTGCTCACATTGTCACAAAACAGTATATTTCTTAATGTATTTAATAATTTACAGTTTAACTTTATGTTTTTATATTACCACAGTTAGTTTGTGCTTTTAAAATTAATCTCTGAGTACTACAATTTAATATTTTTCTATGTTACTTTACAAAACTGAGCAGGTGTTCTGTGCTGACAGAACACTTTCTGCTGCTGACTCTATGCCTATTCTTCAGGCTATAATAACAACCGCAAGCAACAACAGCACCCTATCACATTAACAAATATCTGATCCATGACATTTACATGAGAGAGCAGGTATCTGAAAAATATGTAGAGGCTAGGTAACTAGAAATTCAGCATTGTATGGTAAGAGAAAACTTAAGACTTAGAGTCAAGGGATGAGAATCAGAAGTAAAGAAGGATTTGATACTGGACACTTTCTCATTTGCTAACAGAACCATTCTTTCATCTCAGATTTCTAGATTGGTTCTGCATTAAGTTTATTGTACCTAGAAAGGAGGTCTTCTTGGTTGTATGATGAAGTACTCATAATTCTGTGTATGAAGTAATGCGTTGGTTCAGTAGCAAGTCTTTCTTCTTTCTGTAAAATTATAAATCAGGTATTACACACACAGAACTTGATATGGACTTTCTCCTCCATTGATAGTTTTGTATTCCAATCAATACTTTAATGAAAGAAAAGTTTTATAGAATATTTAAAAATATTATTTTAAAAGGTAAAAATAGAGATGGTCCCTATAATTCTAATTAAAATGTCTCTTCTAGTGTAAGTTTCTTGGAAATGGTTATGTAAAAATATTCTAAATTGTGGTACTAGATTTTGAACACATTTTAAATGTAAAGTACAGATACTGAAGAATGTAATATTCCATTTTAAACTTTAAAATATTTTAATTACAGTTTATTTAATTAAATGGAAGAGCAGAGATACAACTCTAAGCATCTCATAAGCTTGTATGATCAGACATTTTATCACATACTCTGATCTACTTGTTGGGAAATCTTGTGTTTCTGATTTGACTGAAATTAGATGTGATTATTTTCTGAGGTTTACTGCAGATTTCATGTTAGTCTCAACACAGAAGTACAAAAACTGTGGTAGGATGTTTAATTAAGGCAATTGTCTCACTAGGAAATCTCACATTATATGTTTTCCAAAAATATGAATAGTACTGACTTTTGGACAGGGCAAAACCAGAAGAGTCATTGAGTCTCTTATCACCATTGGATGGTTTGCATGCAGTAACATGAACTGTACCTCATCACTATTAAGTAGTTTAATGGATGAATATATGTGATGTTTAAAATACTAGATATAACTTGTTACATTTAGGTAAGATGTCAAAAACTATGTAAGAAAAATATTCACCATATAATTTATGAAGGTAACATATCTACTAAGTGCAAGAAAGTCTAGATTCAGACCTGTTGCAGGATATTTGATCACATTGTGAACCCAAGATTGCATTATTTATTGGAAAATCCTGTTTCTAGTTGTGATGTGGCAGAGGCCTAGCCCACACCTTTAATCCAAGAACTTTCTGCTTGAATATTGTGAACAGGATTAAATAAAGTCAACCATAGGTCAAGAGGCAGACCTAGCCACTTGTTGATTGGAAGTGAACATAGGATTATTAAGAAAAAAAGCCACAGAGAGTAAGAGGGAGTCACGGGATGGATAGAGAGATGCACAGGAAGTAGAAGGCAAGGACATTGAGTTTGAGGTTTTTGTTTGAGATGGCATGGGAAAAAAGTCTTTTTCTGGGATGTCAGAGGAAGAAGAAGGTCAGCCATGTGCTTTCTCTGCCTCTCTGAGCTAGTGGGATTTCACCCCAGCATATAGCTCCTGAGTATTTATTGATAAAACAAGGATTTGAGATTTAGTTAGTAAAGCAACATTTGGTGCCCAATGTGAGAAATGACCGCAAGGACAGAGAAATCATGCCAGCTATGAATAAACTGAGAAGACATATTTGGTAAGATACTTTGGAAGTCCTCAATGAGAGAGTTAAGTAATATTAAAAGGAAAAATATTTCCCATGTTAAGGATGGGAAATATCATAATATAAGGACATTAGGATCCTCAATAATGCTATTTTAGGTGACATGAAAACAGAACAGAAAATGAAAAGATAAATTACTTAACTGAGATTGACATAATATCTATTATAATTACTATCAGTCTGGTAATTCATAAATTAGCCTTAATGGTCATAGTGGAGTTTTGAGACAAATATGAGAAGTGGATTGATATCATACAAGCCTTAGAAAGACTTATAAATAAAAATAAGAAAAATATTCAGACACAGACAGAGGAATTTATACAAGAACCTATTGCACCACCACATGATGAAACTGAAAAGCAGCAGCCCAAGGATGTCAGAAAATCAAACCTAGTTTACCCAGTTACTATACAAGAACTACCAGAAGATGATAGTCATCCCCAAAGTTATCAAGAAGTTAAAGGAATTCTGTAAAAATATTAGATTTGAGGAGATTTAAGGAAGTGATTGTTTCATATGGTATGCATTTACTCTATGTAAAACAGATATTAAATTCATGGTCTACTCAGACAAGAATTATCCCCCAAGACCGGAAAGGTTTGGCAAAAGCAATATTGGGATCTAGTCCTCAGCTACAATGGTAAACATGGTGAAAAGAGGAAGCTAGGGCCATAGAACAACAAAATAGAGTTGGGGGTATTAATATTTCCCAAGATAAGTTTTGAGGTAAAGGTCAATATGCTGAGTTACAAAGACAGCTTGATGAGTTACAAAGACAGCTTGAATTTGATGATCATGCCTTGGTATTAAGCTTTTTAGCAACTTTAACTGCTTGGGACAAGGCTGAAGAATCAGGAAAGAGGCCTGAATCATTTACTAAAATTATACAAGGCCCCAAAGAAGCTTTCATTAATTTTTTATGAAGATAGGCTTCAGCTGCAAATAGAATAGTATCAGACCCAGAAGTCAGAGAAATATTAATTAAATCTCTGTTCAGAATGCAAAAGGGCAATTAGGCCTTTAAAGGCAAGATCAGCACCAATAGATGAGTGGATTAGAAGTACAACTGATATTGGATCTCATGTTTATGATGTTACACTTATAAGAGAAATAATTTCTGAAAATTTTAAGAAAAGTCAAAATGTCAGATGTTTTAATTGTGGTAAGCGAGGTCATCTGAATAGGGATTGTAGGCAAGGCATTCCAAGAAACAATGATTATTCTGTAGATAATCCAAACAGAAGGCCCCAGCTTTCTGGGGTATGCAGAAGATATGACAAAGGTTGGTATTGTACTAATGAATTCAGATCAACAAGGGGCAGGCAAGTTAACCCTTTGCCATCAAAATGTCCTAAGGGGCCTCCCACAGGCCTTGATATCAAATTTGGCTTAATAATTCCCTGACAGCATTGGAAAAACTCATAAATAGAACAATTAAGTCTTAATACCTGTTGTTAAAGACAACACTGATCTATATGTAGATCATATAAGTAAGTAAAACAAAAATTTCAGGAGAGAGAAGAAAACAAGTATTTTGGCAAACTGCTACAAATAATAAGAGACCAAACTTAAAAATACAAATAAATGGCATTGTAATTGAAGGTTTACTAGGCACAGGAGTTATATATAAATAATTCCACCAAAATGTTGGCATCAAAATTGGCCTCTTCAGGAAGTAAATATTCTGCTTAAGGGACTGGAACTTTACCTCAAGTGAAACAAAGTGCAAGATGAGGGGAGAGTATAGGGCTAGAAGGACAAATAGGAAAATTAAAGCCATATGTGGCTAACATAGCAATGAATTTATGGGGAAGTGAATTATTGCAGCAATGGAAAACACAGGTTAACATTCTTCCAATCTCATAAACAAACCATAAAATAAAAGACACTTTGAAGAAAAATGTTAAAAGGTATTATCATGAGGAGTCACAGACCATTCAGGTTGTACATAAATAGGACACAGTAGCTGTTGGTCTTTTAAAAGTACCAACTACCCTATTTTTAAAATGGTTAAATGGCAAATATGTGTGGATGGAACAGTGGCCTTTGACAGAAAAACTTCAGGCAGTAGAACAGCTGGTACAGGAGCAGCTAAGTGCTCAACACATTGAAGAACTGGCTAGTCCTTGGAATTCTCCTTTCTCATTAAAAATAAATCTGTATATGGAAAATATTAACAGATTTAAGAGCCACAAATAAGGTGATTTAATTAAAGAATTTCCTTGTCTTCTTTATTACCTAAGGGAAGGTATTATAGTGATTGATTTGAAAAACTGCTTTTTTTAAAAATTTGCTATAACTTTACAAGAACAGGATAAAGAGAAATGTACCTTCACAGTGCCTACTTATAGTAATGCTCAGCCTGTTAAAAGTTATCAGCAGAATGTTCTTCCATAAGGAATGTTAACAGCCCCTCCTGTATCAATATTATTTACAACAGCCATTAGAAATAATTCATAAACAGTTTCCTCAATCTAGAATTTGTCAATATACTGATATCTTACTGGCTGATTTACAGACATATACCTTAGAAAAAAATGTTTGATGAAGTAAAGAGAATTTTGCCTTGCTGGGGATTACAATTGCTCCAGAAAAAAATACAAAGAGGAGATTTTAGCAATTATCCAGGATATAAGATAATTTTATTGAAAATTTGACCACAGAAAGAAGAATTCAGGAGAAACCAATTACAATCTCTTAATGATTTTCAAAAATCACTGAGAGAACTCGCTAAGCCCCACAATTGGATTAATTACTCAAGAGCTAAGTATCTTATAAGGTGATAAGGACTTAAATAGTTCAAGAAATCATCATCTAAGGTTGAGAGAGAATTTGGTCTGGTAGAAAAGAAATTACAGGATGTACATCAGATTGCTTGGAACCAAAGCTTAATTGTATTTTGGTTATTTTACCATCTATGATTCTCCCACAGGAATTCTTACTCAGAATATAATATCTTAGAATAGCTATTTTAGCACACAGAGTGAAAAATTAAAGACCCATATATAAAATTTTTCTGCATTGATTCTTAAAGGAAAAAGAAGACTTTGTCAATTAGCAGAAATAGACCCAGCAGAAATTGTGGTACATTATACTAATGCTGAAATTGCCTCATTATGGGCAGAAAATGAACTTTGGCACAAAGCTTGCAGTAATTTTTTTCAGAAAGATTAACAACAAATATCCCCCAAAGAAAGAGACATCTGTTAATAAAAAGAACTAATTGGATTCATCCTCATATAGTAAAAGGGACACCAATTTCTGGATCTCCTATATTCTATACTGATGTAAATAAATCAGGAGAGGCAGGCCTTTATGATTCAGTTAAAAAATTCAGAGCTATATGCCATTCCAATGTATTTTTAAAGATACTCCTGGATTTCTTAATATAGTTACTGATTCTCAATATGCATAAAGAGTTGTTTTACAACTCATTCCAGATTATTCAGAATTAACTTCACTATTTATTCAACTACAACAAGTATTCAGAAATAGAAATCATCTATTGTATATAACACATAACACATATCAAATCCTATATGGATCTACTAGGCCCTCTAGTACAAGGTAATAATGA